AGCGATGCCCTTGAGCTGTGCTTCGCTTGAAGAGGAGCCATGAACTTTCCCCAACGGCAACAGTCTCTCAGCGCCGCCTTCGCAGCTGCCACCGGCTCTCCGTGAGAGTTGAGGGATCACGCTCTTGATCCCTATTCGCATGAAAGGCAGGCAGCCTGCGCTGCACCACCTGAACCCTCCACACAAGGACACTTTTCGACTTAACGCAATGTGGGAGGTGATGCTCGCAGAAGCATATCCTGCGATAACGTACAGCCGATCACGACAGCTAGAGGCTGCTCCGTCTAGGAAAACAGACCGTGATGGAGTGCGCTGTTACCACTGCCATGAACGAGGGCACATAGCAAGGGAGTGCACCGGATCCAGGTCTCCTGCGAGGCAGGGAAACGGGTTTGCGGGTTGTCCGTGAATGCACGAGCGACCGAACGTTCGCTTCTTCCCTCTGCGTGCAGGGCAAGCACTTTTCTTGCTGACAAGCGCGCGCCGTTCAATCCGTTAAATATTGCCGGCCGTGATTTTTCAGCTTTGCTGGACATGGGCGCTAGCACCTCGTTCGGCGAACAGGTGTTGTCCCACTTGCAGAAGCACTCAGCGCGCTTGTGGGCCAGCCCGACATTTACCCTTACAAAGGGCGTGGTCCATTCGGCAGGCGCTGCAAGGTTGACTGTCAGATGAGATGAAATGAGACGATGCCGTCTTGTTCATCTTCCAGGGCTCAATATTCCAGTGATTCTCAGTCAGGACTTTCTCCTTAAAACCAGTATCGTTGTGGATATTGCGAATGGTGGTTTTCAAGATGGCCCGTTTTGCCAACTCAGGCCGTTCATCAGCCCGCCGGCGCTTACCATTGCCTTTGCCGCAGAAGCGTCGGAAACATGCCCTCCGGTGAGTTCGGGGCCAAGCCCCTGCTTAACGCATTTGCCCTCTTACAGTCCCCTTCGTGAACGAAAGGCGCGGCACGAACCGTGTCGCCCGCACACTTCGAGGTCGTACCCTGGCGTTTTGCGCTCGTCGGCTCGAAACACCTGTGTGGATCGACCGACACGACACGAAGAGGCACTACATCCTTTGGTCGCCAGCCCGACTCAGTTGGATGATACACAGAAGGCTCGTCTGTCGACACTGTTACGTCCTTACAACGAGCACTGCCAGTGCAGTGATGCCACCAGATTGATCAGCTAAAGAGGCTGTTGAACTTTTGCAGCGCTATTTCGAGCATGACGCTTGTCCAAAATTTCTAGCTAGTTTGTCAGGCATGGGTGCGTACCTTGTGAAAAAACAACTCAAGCTTGCCAAACAAACCACTCTTCACTCCTCTTTTTTTCTTCTACTCATTCTCATGAGTAAGGTGAGGTTTGTGCAATTTAAATAAATGTCTTGATTCACTAAACAAGTGTACTTTGCTTAAATGACACTTCTGATAAATGGAGCAGTTTTATGGATCCCCTTTGAGTTCCGTTTAAGAGGAGTCCACTGTACGCATGTTCCAGTTGGCATCGTTGCGCAAGCGCAAACAACTGATTCTCTAGACATCTGCAACTCTTCAACATATGTCTGTGCGTGCAATATTTGTACATATATTTATTGTCATTTCATGACGAGTCGCTCAATAAAAATATTGCAACACGGTCACCTTCCCCCGCATGCTTCACATAACGACAATTCTCAGGTACATGGGATCTGCCGAATTTTTTTTTTATTATTACACGCAAGAAACATATTATAACGTGCAAGAGACAAGTACAAATTTTGACAACTGAAGATAGGGGTGCACTTGTTATGAGAGTACATTCGTTATTTGAACAAGTATGATAATTGACAGGAAAACCACCATGAAACGAAACACCGAAACAGCGAGAAGTCACTTTTGGGCTTTTAATCCACTGGAGGCTTCCGCAAGAGGCAATCTACCGGTTGTGACGGTGAAGCCAAAGGCTCTTCGACCGGACAATCACCGGCCACTCAGAAAATGGTTATCTTTCACAATTTTTCAAATGGTAGCACAATATTTATTACATGCTGTTTGTTGGTTATATTCTCCACTGTGTGGACATAGTTGTCTGTTGTTGAAGCAGTTTGATAGTGTGTTTCTTTAGCGCCAAGGAGCCCACGTTCAGAACTTTTTCTACATATGGCATCGAAACCCCCTAGTCTCACCTACAGGCTACCTAGCGGGCTCATTTCCTTCGTCAGATAAATGTTTTTTTTTTTTTTTTTTTTTTTTTGTCAAATGAAATTTCGTGGAATTAGAGAGCTGCCTCAAAAATGACCACTTTACTATTCCAGGTCTGTATTCGATTTGTATTCATTTCACTTCTGAAGCACATTCACACAACCTTTGTCAATCGTAATGCGAGTGAAACTGCTAACTAGTGCCGAACCCAGAGTTGCCAGTTCCACTTTTAATAATAAGATCTGGGCTTTTTTTTTTTTTTTTCGGTGAGTCTTTTGTAGAACTTTCCTGTCTTTTGCAGCATTTTTGAGGGTTTATTTGCATGATCATCACCAGCCTGACTACACCCGCTGCAGGGCAAAGGCCTCACCCATGATCTGCCAATTAACCCGGTTTTGTGCTTTCTGCTGCCATGTTACACCTGTGACCTCATCGACCCACATAACTTTCTGTCTCCCCTTCGTACATTTGCTTTCTCTGGGAATACAGTCAGTTACCTTCAATGACCAGCGTTTATCCTGCCAACGTGCTACATGCCCAGCCTTTGTCCGTTTCTTCTTCCTGATTTCAACTATGATATCCTTTAACCCCGGTTCATTTCCTAACCCACTCTGCTCTCTTCTTGTCTTTTAAGGTTACACCTATATTTTCCTTTCCATCACTTGCTGCACTGTCTTCAATTTAAGCTGAACCCTCTTTGTAAGCCTCCACGTTTTTGCTCAGTATGTATCAGCAAGATGCAACTGTTATATACTTTCCCCTTGAGGGTTAGTGGTAGATCACCGTCCACAATTTCAGAATGCTTGCCGAATGTGATCCACCCCATCCTCATTCTTCTATTTATTTCACTTGCATGGTTCGGCTCTGCGATTACAACCTGTCCTAAGTAGACATATTCCTTTACAACTTCCAGCGTCTCTCCATCAATTGCGAAGCGCTGTTTTCTGACGACACTGTTGCACGTTACTCTAGGTCTGCAAAAAATATATGCACGAAACTACTTTTCTGCTTTCAGTGTCCAGTTCAATAATCATGAGCTGCGATTCGTCTCCCAAGTTACTCTTCAAGGCAATGTTATCAGCGAATTGCAGTTACAAAGATACTCTCCATTAACTCTTATCCTTAACTCTTCCCAATCGAGGGTCCTGAAAACCTCCTGTAAACACACATTGGAGAGATCTTATCTCCTTGCCTTACACCCCTCTTTATTAAAATTCTGTCACTTTCTTTATAGAGAAATATGGTGACGGTAGATCCACTGCATATTTATTCCAATATATTTATGCGGGGTTCTTGTACGCCCTGATCTTGTAGTGCCTGCTTTACTGCGAATATCTCGAATGAGTCAAATGCCTTCTCGTAATCTATGTAGGCTATGTATAGGGCTTGGTTGTATTCCATGCCTCTATCCCCTGATTGATAGTATGGATATGATCTATTGTTGAATACCTAGTACAAAATCCTGCTTGATCCTTTGGTTGATTGAACTCTAATGTTGCCTTAATTCTATTAGCTATTATTTTTGTAAATAGTTTGTAAAGAACGGACAGTAAGCTGATCGGCCTGCAATTTTTCAAGTACTTGACGTCTCCTTTCTTATGGATTACAATTATGTTGGCGTTCTTCCAAGATTCTGGTACCCTTCCCATCAAGACACAATTCATATATACGGTGGGTACTGTTTCTCGCACAATTTCTCCACAATCTTTCAGGAGGTTCGTTGTTACCCTATCCTCACCAGCGGCTTTGCCTCTTTGCATTCCTTCTAGGGCCTTCCTTCCTTCCCCTGTAGTTACTGGTAAGATGTTGAATTCCCCTGTACTATCATTGTTTCTCATGATATCATCCGGGTTGCTTCTGCTTCCGTCCGTAGAACTTCTGCCTACGCACAAGTTTGCTTTCGCAGCTATTGGGCTTCTGCCGCTTTTTACAGCCAGCTCAATTCTTTTTATGTTATACCTCCTGATGTCGTTTACCATACGCTTATTGATTAACTTCAAGAGCTCCACAAGCTCTATTTTGTCGTTTGCATTTCAGGCTTTCATAGTTTGTCGTCTCTTAGATTTTTCATCTCTTGAGGTAGTTTGCCAGTAACCTGTCTAGTAACTGTAACTCCAATTTCCATTGCACATTCTTTGATGACACTAGTAAGATTATTGTCCATTGTGTCGACGCTAACATCGGTTATCTTGTTCAGCGCCTCGAATCTATTCTGAAGCGATACTCTGATTTCCTGTTCTAGCAAATACAGTTATTTAGTGATCATCACATTTGCCAACAGCCCATTTGTTTGCTCATTGCACTTTTGGTGGTATTGAGTAGTTAAGTGTTGAAGTCTTACATATATTGACAGAATGAACAAGGAACATTAATCATGCACTGCACAATGAGTATTCTGCCGAGTGGAGCCTACATATCTTGGAGACAACACTAAGTAGTCTAAAAAGTAAGTGTTTTGGTTCACAGTTGCGGATATATTCACAGTTGCGGATATTTTTACAGGTTCGGTTGCTGCCAGCGGCAAGTTGTCTTTTCATGCACTTTTCTTGATTCATATTTACATTGGAATTAAATCTGACATCCCCCACACATCCATTGGCATCATTGTCTATTGGTTCTCACTCATACTGTGTCAAGTAAAAGGAAACCAGCCCTTAAACTTTCACTTCTTTTTTCACACAGTGCGCTTCCCTTATAAAGCGGTTCAACTGCAGTAGCAAACAATTGATTCTACCATGAGCCATCATTTTTCTTTCTGACTGTTGCAAGCTTAAATATAATACAAAAGCCTCATAGATGTCAATGAAATTCATGTTATTCCCCTCACCAGCGTCATCACATCGTTGGCCAAGTCCCGTGCCAGGTCAGCGGTCACAAAGCAGGCCAGGCCGCTCATGGCTGTGCCCGAGTCATACATGCTCTGACTGTTCAGGTCCTGCCAAACACAAGGCCAACTTCATTGGAAAGCCACCCCACACCAGCCACTGTGCAACCAGCAGAATGAACAGAAGCAGCTTACTTTTCGAATCATGTTGGTGGTTAGCATGAGGACATCGGTGCCTTCGTGAAAGCTCTGTGATGCAGCCAGGTAACCAATTCGCTGCGGACAAGAAAAGAAATAGTCTGCAGTAAAAGCTTGTTAAATCAACAGACATTAAGAAGGCAAACAGATTGTCCTGGTTTCAGCTTTATATGTCAAAGACTGTAACAAATTTTGTTATGAAATCTTTTGTGTTCATTAAGAGCTTGTGGTCTGTGCAATTTGGACTGTGCAGTTTTTTTTATTTCTTCTGATCAAGTGCCAAAATTAAGACAAGCACAAATTTAAATGTACCTTTTTTGTTATTCCTAACCTGTAAAAACAGGCTCCTAAAGCAAAAAAAATGTCCTTTCTCGTAATGTGCTATGAGAGAAATTTTCCAAATAATCTTTTTTTTCTTTTTGTTAGTCATAATATAAAAATTTTTTAAAATTATAGGTTCAGTCTATTAAGAAGGAATTTAGGCTTAACCTGAAAAAATTTGATCGTGATTCATAGGAGAGTTTTGTAGAAAAGGGACATCAATATTGGAAAATATTAAAAAAAACTGATTGTAAGAGAAACACGACTATGTTTAAAAAGTCAGAGCTTTGCGACAAAGGTGAATCAATGAATGCGATAGCAACAAATTGGAAGGTCACACCATGAATGAAAAGCAGATCAAAACATGCCCCGCGCTTCTCACACACAAATGACGCACGAAACGTACTCACAGGTACAGATGCACACACGTCTCAGTTGTTACTTCGCTGTGTCTGAAAAGCGGGCTTTTCGAAAACAGAGACTGCAATGATTGCAGTGACCTTTGTGCACCCGGTCACTACAAAAGAATTGTTCCAGCTAAGGCCCGAGGCCAGCCAATACTTACGATCCTCCCCTCCTCCCAACCATGAGATAAGGACGCACAAGGGAGCGCCACTCCCCTCCTTTAAGCGGAGCATAGCACGCGTGGGAGATTAGAGTGCACGCCGATGTGCGATGCGGTGGCACGCGCTCATTGCGCCATCTTGCTGGTAATCCCCCCCCCTCATAATTCCTCAGAGATGCCAGCGAAAAATAGCTTGCCGTTTGAATGGTGAAGGGCGTGCTCTTCGGTGGCTCAGTGGTTAACGCTTCACACTCACGATTGAGGGGACCCAAGTTCGATACCGCGCGCCGGACTCTTTTTCTGTTTTTTTTTTCTTGCATTTTTCATATATACAGATACGTATGCATATACGGTGAGTGACGGCGAGTGACAGCGACACCGGCAACAAAATTCAGCCGAGAGTGTCTATATATTTGCTATCGCAATAAAACACGTTCAGAACGTGCTCACAACATGAGGAATAATTAGGCTAAAAAAAGCATTTTAGAGAGAAAACTTGTAAGCGGGAAGTATTAAAATGGTAGGAAGTCATATCTAGCTATAATTCTTATTTAGGAATGCATACATACAGAAGTAACGATAGAATAGAGCCCATGAATCTGTTAAGAGAGACTGTGCCTGGTGCCATTCTTATGGCATATTTGATTGGGCATTTTCAGGTGCCCTGGAGCATTCTGAAAAGTGGTTGCACCTTCGGTTGGTGGAATTTGAGTACTCGGACTACCTTCGGTTGGTTCTTCCCCAGCGTCAGCCTCCGACTCTGAGCCCTCCCGACCGCTCTAACTTCGAAGTGAGAGCGTGGCGCAATCTGACCAGGAGGACAGATCACATGACACAAGCCAGGTATTCACGCGGCTGCTGGCAGGTGAACGAGGTGAAGAGCCCGAGCGTTCATTTCGGAAAGGGGTATCGTCGGGCGCGTATTACTTCGTACACGCGCCTTGTTAATCGCGTTTTGGCGCGTGTGTGGGGCGAATTCACATCTACGAAGCCATAAATGCACGGTGTTGATAATGAGGCGGTAGCGAAGGCAGAGGAAACGTCAATGTTGTCGTTACACCAGCTCGCAGGAGCCTCATGATATACCTTGATGGTAGCAGCTCGAATGAGGATGATCGCCAGATTTATGCGCTGTGCTTGTGGAGATAGGTTTGCACTAGGCTTACCTACTATGCGCAACCGTGTAGGGATGCGACGTCCTCCACTGTTGCTGCGTGCGAAGACGTTGCGGCCGGGTTCGTTGATTTCTCCGGCACGGCGCAGAAACCACGCACGAGGCAGGATAACAACAACGGGTTCATTAACCCAAGATGCAGCACAGTGCGACACTCACGGGCTTGCAGGCCGTATAGGGAACTCCGCAAGACCGAGCAAGTACGCTTGTCTAGGGTGCGACGACTCCCGCACAAAGGCCGAAGTCGAACGCACGAACGAGAAGCCGCCTGCTTAGCAGCAAGTCAACCCCTCGTGAAGGCCTGAGAGCATCTGCCGCGACGAGCGAATCGTCGGGCGCAACACAGCTCGTAGGAGAGGAGGATGTCACGCGCGCCCAATGGGAAATGGCGCTGCGTTGTGACGTAGGCCCGCGCAGCGCACCAGCGTAGCGTGCCCGGACATGCCAGCGTGGGAAGAAGCCGACGGTTGACTGGCCCAGACCAAGAGGCGCCCTGGCAGCCATCTTGGCGGATGCCAGTGCTTATGCGCGCCTGAGCTACGCCGTTGGCGCGCGTGCAGCAGCTGGGAACGAGGCGCCAGGTAGGAGGGCGCTCTCGATTCCCACATCCGCCCACCCTAAGACCGAGGCCGCCCTAAAGACGCTGTAATAACAGTATCCACCGACACTGAAAAACTGAGGTCCAGGTCCATGCCGTCCACGAGATCGTCGGGCGCCCCGGTGTCTTCGTTCGGCGGCGTCTCAGCAGGAACCTGGGGCTGCGGGAGGGCGGCGGACACCGCAGCAGCGATGGCAGACTTGAATGAAGAGTCCGTGACGAGCGCCGCCACGACCGCCTGAACGGAGTCGGTCGACAGGGCAGGTTGAAGGCCCGGGCTAGGCGGCACCGCCGGAGTGGACATGACCGCAGGGGCACCGCCGGACTTCGCTCGGTGAACCCTCGAACGGAGGTGGGTAGCCTCGTGCACCAGCAGGACACCAAAAGCGTCGCAGTAGGAGGCCTCAGGCGGCATCGAGGCACCTCCGGAAGCGTCGAGCAGGTCCGAAAGGGGTGCGTCCGCGGAACGGACGCGGGACGGACTCGGGGTCTAACCCCACCCAGACATTGCGTTGCTTGGACCAGCGACGAGTCGACACAAAGGCGACCGGGGCCTCAGTGCCATGTTGGAATGTCCACGTAGCGACTTCACGACGAGGCGGTGTCTTGTTACCCAGGGCCGGGGGAGCATTCGACGGAGGCGGCATGGACGCAGCCGGTGCCTGCGGAACGACCGAGCGCGCGGCTTGTCTCCCAGGCTTTTTCTTGGAAGAACGGGTCATCGAGGAGGACATAATGAATGCTGAGGTGTCTGTGAAAAGCATAAACGCACTGAAGGTGCGGTCCCAGAGGCGCGACAAGCTGGCCCAATAAAGAGAGCCTACTCCGTCAGATTGAAGGTTGCATGAGCCAATAGGGCGCACGCTTCCCTTCTCCCGCCGACTATGCGGAAGATACCCAGTGAGAGAGTGAGCCACCGGGAAAGAGCTTTTCTCTCTCGAGCAGCCGGGAGTGCTAGGAACTGGGTGGATATTCCGCGCGCAGCGCATGTAATGGTGTTCCTAGGGAGAAAGCTCGCCAGGTAGCCGTTACTGTTGCTGCTGGATGGGCTCTCGCACAGCAGCTATAAATCTCCGCTTCCTTACATGGAAGGGATAACGTCCCGCTACATGCCAGGGGCGAAAATCAGCCTAAGTACGTTATCACCGGTTGTACCAGTGGCGTGGTTTAGAACCAGCCTTATCCCGATTTCCCTGCGGTTCGGTGACCGCCTCCCCCTCCCCAAAGTAGTTGCTGCGGGCAACGAAAGGTTTGAGGTCAGAGACGTTAACTGGACCACTGACTGGTCTCCCTTGGAAGTCAGCCAGCTTGCATACCAGGGGCAACACTTTGGTGTGCACTCGGTATGGGCCCAGCCATTTGGCCGAAAGGGAGGCCGAGATGCCTTTGGCGGCATCACTCAAGACGTGATTGCGCCTGAGGACGAGATCGCCGACATCGTAACGGACATCCCGATGCGACCGGTCGTATTGAGCCTTCTGACCAGCTCGCGCTTTCGCCAGGTTGGAACGCGCTAGGTTGAGGGCCGCGTCCATCCGTGAGCGCAGTTCCGCCGCGTAGCCAGACGGGCTGACCTTTGCGGCGCTTGCCCCGCCGCCACCACGTAGGACGCGGTCCATGGGGTTAGGCAGCTCTTTCCCAAAGTTGAGGAAAGCGGGCTTGTACCCTGTCGAGCGATTGACCATAGACCGCAAGGAGAAGCCCATCTCGTTAAGACAAGCATCCCAATCCCTGTGTTGCTGCGCAAAGGCTGTCAGCAAGGGCTTGAGGTTCCGGTTGATCCGCTCGGTCGGGTTGGCCTGTGGGTGATACGTGGTTGTTTTATGGTGCTTAATGCCAAAGGCAGCACACGCATCCACAAACACCTTGGCCGTGAAATAGGACGCATTGTCCGTGATCAACCCCGCCGAAAAGCCAAAGCGGGTAAAGACCTCGGTCAACCTGTCCCAGATTGCGCGTGCCGTTAACTTCCGAAGGGGAAACAGTTCGACCCACATCGTGAAGTGATCTGCGACAGCCAGGAGAAAAACATGGCCTCTCCGGCTTCTTGGGAAAGGTCCCATAATGTCACAGGTTGCGACCTGCGAAGGTTGTTGGCTGTCGATCGGCTGCATGAGCCTGGGAGGCTTGCCCCCGCGAGGCTTTACGCATTGGCACATGCAGCATGAGCGGGCGTAGTGAAGGGCGTCGTGCTTCATGCCAGGCCAGGTAGCGCAGCTGCACAACTTTTGAAAAGTCTTAAGGCCGCTCGCGTGTCCGGCCAACCGCGAGTCGTGGAAATAACCTAAGCTGGCTTTCCTTAGACTGCGGGGTATCACCACCTTGAAATACTCCTGCAGAGCTTCTTTAGATGGCACGAAGCGCAGGAGAACGCCGTCAGCATCAAGCAGGTACGAGTCGAACGTGCCCGCAGCAATACC